CAAAGTAGTGGAAGTTAAAAATTGTCTTCTGTTTGTAATGCAAAGGAAAAGTGCTGCAAAACGAAAAATCTGCAATTTAAAATTTTTTACTCAGAATGCCCCCTGCGGTGCATGGCAAGTAGGATGTATTTGTTGTTAATTCATTATCAAAGACAGCAATTTAAGAAAGTCTTAGATAATTCGTTCAAACGTGCGCTACCATGTAAAGTTGTAAACTTTCCTTGGCACGTATCTGTAGTTCTATCAGTATTCTTGCATGCTCTATTTCTCTACACATATGTTTTATCTCAATAAAAAAAAAGCCCCTTACGATATGGATGACTTTTGTCATACTAAAATGCATGCCGATAACTATTACGAAGCTCTTTTACAACACATGAAACACAGTACTTCATCAGCTGTCATCTGCATATCTTCCATAGGCGGCATGTTCAGAGGAAAATAATGGTTGTCTCAGTTATTTATTTCAAACTGCAAAGAAAGTCTTAGTACTCCTTCGTTGAGCAGCTGCTTTGCTTCTCAGAAATCAGAGAAACTATGAGTGAGATAATTTTTGGAATATAAGCGGTTTCTAATTTACTTGGACTTTTATTTTTTGGGGTGATGACGGTATGCTGCACTAATGGTGCGACTCCACGTTTGTGTAAAGATGCGTATTACCTACCGATATAGAACTAAAATATATTTAATATAAATCGGTAAAAGTATAGTTTAGGGTACCCCTTGGGGAAACTTGGCGATTTTTGGCGGTACATGGGTACCGATTTTATGCAATTCTTTGACTCGTTATTTTGGCTTGCGAAGCGGTGATTTTTGCGCCAAAAATCGCCGCTACACAAAGCAAAAATAACAAGACAAACAATTGCACAAACTCGATATCCATGTACATATCGACTTACTTTTCACTTAAAAAAAAATCCCCGAATTGCACAAAAATGGCATTGCGCACTACTTTGACTTTATCCATGTACATTTCGACCTATTTTCACTTAAAAAAAATCCCCGAATTGCACAAAAATGGCATTGCGCACTCTTTTAACTTTATGCATGTACACGTCGACCTATTTTCACTTTAAAAAAAATCTCAGAATTGCACAAACTTGCATTTCGCACTCCCTTTACTTTGTCCATGTACACATTGATATATTTTTACACTTAAAAAGTCAAAGGAAGCACCAAATTCTACAATATAGGCAAACAAAAAATGCAAAATCTCAATAAAATACATTTTAAAAAAACCAAAATAAAATAACATAAAAAAAAAACATGTTTATATATTTAAGCACTACCAAAAGCAAATATTCACTTACCATGATTTTCGAGTTCGCTTCGTACACACCCGAGCCACGTAAAAATCAAAATATCAATCATACTCAAATGACTTTTTTCAAACCAGGTACTCTTTCTGATCGAACACTTCACATAGTGACCATCTGAACTTTTCTTCCTACAAACCCATTCAAATCCATCTAAACGATTTTTACGTTCGACTAGACGCATATCCTTCCTACATACAGAACACTTATAATGGCTACTAAGTAAACCTACATTTACACACCAGTCAATTAAAGCTCTTTTCCCCTTTTGCTCCAAATTGTACAGAAACTTCAAATTAATCTTACTACATTCGGCCATTCTACTGTCTAAAGAATCAAACCAACACACACCACAAAAACGCTTACAAAACATCCCATGATTCAAAATTTCCCAGAATCATGCACCCGATTACGTCACAATAGGATTTCCAGAACATTCAACTATTCAGGCTATCATAAATGAAACAACAACTTGGCGATAAATCAAACAACAAGTTCGCCATAATACAAGGGGGACCTTAAAGTCTACTCTACTCATATAAATCTATTATATATTCCATTAACAATGTATAACAACGCTTAAAGCATAGATATAATTATTGTAGGTTATTCTCATTATAAGAGGACCTTGTTAGCTGCAAGAATCTCTCTAGTCGAATGTTTAGGAGCATTCTGAGTTATTGTCTTGTCTAAAACAGTTTGCAGACTCAATTAGTCATGCCAATTTAATATTTCGGTTATACTTTATGTCCTCTGATTCATTATAGCTCAAATGTTATCAGAGGAGCAACAGGATCATTGGTCCGTCAGTGTCTCTAAGATGGAGGTGCATGATAACAGACACCATGCAGATCGCTAAAATCCCTTGACACTAGCCGTGAAGTTAAAATTCTTGTAACTGACATTACAAATAGCTGAAATGACTGAAGATGAAAAATGATGATTCTACAATGTTAGAGCGTGTCGTCTCACATTTCGAACACTACAACCCTTGGGCGACCACACATATAAATTTCTCATCTTTGTGTGGTCCGCAGCATTTCCAAGGCTTAAGGATTCCAGGGAATAAGCAGGGATGTTAACCCCTTGCTCTTAAATTTAGGGATACCATCTTCGTAAATGGCACATTTTGCTGCAGCTCAACTATGTTATGTTGCGTGATTAATTTAATCTTATTTGTTCGTACGCTAAATATGTTGTTGCTGTGTCCTTATCTGCTCAAAACGTGTCCAGTAATTCCCTCTTCTGACTCATATTTTTATTTGCTTATCTCTTAAATGATCATTCGAATCGGTTACAGGCGAAAACATCGCGTACGAAAAAGTCGCGGAGAAAACGCAAAGCGAAAATACAAATCATCGTAGAAGAAAAGAAAGCAAAGAGAAAAGCATCGCATTTATTAAACATCGTGGTACAAAACGTCGTCGAAAATAGCGATTCAAAAACTTCCCATTTTAAAAACATCGTCGTCGGAAATTATCATGGTAAAAAAATAAAGCGCCTAACTAATCATCGCATGACGATAACATTAGAGACATTTGTTTTTCAGGCTTTAAAAGTTGTAAATGCATATTTGCATAATGATTTATGAGCGCAAAAAGGAATGAGTATACATCTATATTTTTGAATTAAATAATAAATTTTTGCTAAAAAATTCAAAAGGAAACGTAAGCATTCAAAGACAGAAATGAGTAGAAAATTAATACTACTTATAGCATTTTACATAATTTGATAATTTGATAGTTAATTAAACAGTTTTAATAGAGATAACCTCATGCAGTAACTCATCTTCCTTTTTCTAATCCTTTTAGACTTTATTTTTCATGAAAAATTACCAATAAAATTTTAAGATTCATTAATTAATGATATTTATTAGTTAACTGTAAGAGTTTAAAGTTTTATTAACTGCTATACCTAGAATTGCTTAAATTTCCTTCTTATTTTTCAACAAAAACTTATAGGTTAATTCAAAAATATAAAACAAACGTAAAGTCATTCCTCATTCCTTCTTGCAGTCACAAATCATTATGCGAATTTTTAAAGCTTGAAAACTCACGTCTGCGATGTTATCGTATGCGATGATTTGTAGGTGCTTTAAATTTTCAGCACGATTTTTTTCGACGACGATGTTTTTAAACTGCGATATATTCTCCTTGCTTTCTTTCTCCCACAATATTTTGTATGACGTCGTTTTCGCCTTGCGTTGTTTCCTTCTCGATGTATTTGCCGCGATGTTTTAGGCGGACGCCCTCGAATCAGTGTCAAACGGATTTTAATGTTCTCAACTAAAAGATGAAAATTCTGACTTGCTTGTTATTCTCAAAGTTATGTCGAATTTTATACTCAGCAACAGCAACTGAAGCAACTTGTTCTGTCAGCAGCCATTATGTAAAGTTCGCAAACTCAAAGATCAAAAGAGGTCAAAAGTGCAGAAGACCGCTTCACAATTATGGTAGCAAGCAGAAAAGGTACGAGAAGCTTTTGCGCCACTTCCGACTGTGTTCTGTCTTCAAAGCTCGATCTTCGACTGTATATGTGCATTGCATTTTCTGAGAATCCGTTTAAACAACCTAAAACCATAGGAATTTATCGTCGATGCATGGATTGCTTGTATAGTTATATCAAAAAATGAAATAAACCCAGGACCTGTTTCACAAGCCATAATGGGTAACATGAGTACAAGCCAGTTTCATTTTAAAAGCCCTTCACGAAGGCACGTAGCCCCCCTCGCATGCTTTACCCTATTCAGTTAAATAAACGCTCACAAGCCATATGCTTGTTGTAGACGACAGTAGAACAGACAATCTATTTTTTGTGTAGTTAAGCGTTCAGTGCAAAGCAGGTGAGGACTATCTGCGTAAAGGGAGAGATGCCTTCATTCAGAATCTTTCTAAGGGAAATGGCGGTATTCACTTGCGCTTTTAGCCTTAGTTTTATGGGCAATAAAAATTTTTGGTGTCTTTATCGTAGTGTTCTTTATCATTGTAGAAGAGTGGACTATCGGTAGAGTATAAAGGTTTTGAAATGTTGTTTTAATGAGTATTATAAAGTATTTTAATGAGCAGTATATAAAGTATTCAATAATTGTATTTCTTCTTTTTTTAATCGTATTTTGATAAAGATTATATAAAATTGATTGGTTCTTTCAGTAAACTTCAAATCGCATTTTGTTTAATTTAGCAGGAAATCTTCAGCCGTGCCTAAACTTTCGAGATTGATTTTCGCAGAGAAAATTTCGAAGAAATTTATTAGCCATCGCTCTTGTTAAAATCTGCGCTGATACTGCTGGACAAACCCGTCGGCAGAACTTTAATGCATAAACTGGACTGGTTCGGTTGTATCTACAAAAATATAAAGTTTCTAGGTTAGCAATATATCGTGAGCCTTCGAAAAGCAAATATCACTAAATTATGTTAATGAAGCCAAAATGTAGTGCCTCTTAATCTACCCAAGCTAACTTTGAATTTATAACATGTAAGACTTCAATTATAGTATTTTATGCATTAATTGAGCATATAATTCCAAAACTTACGTGAAATACTTAGATCTTTAGATAATTGACGTTATTTCTTTAGAAAATATGTTAATGTATTCTTTCTTTCAAGCTGTAATATTAGTACCTAAAATGTGAATATTTTAATCTATAGTGTTTATACATAAATTAAAAAAATTTATTTTTTATAGGTAAAAACTGTTATGATAGATTCACTGCTGAACCACTGTACGTAAGAAGAAGAAGATTAAAAGGTATTTTTAAAATGCTCCTTATATATTCATTCATCTGTTCTGTATAAATATTTCTGTGATTTCATAAATTATAAATTAGACATATCTTAAATCTTAATTCGAATCCTTAAAGTTTGTGGAATCTTTTACTACTAAAACTTATAAATTAGACCATGTTGTTGAGAGAAACCGTGAAAATGTGTATGCATTGCAACAGTTGACCACATGCAGAGAATAGGAAGTTCCACTGCTTACGAAATATTTTCACCTACAAATGTACACCTACAAATTGTGCACAAGAGATGTTGTTAACGTTGCGTTTGTATATATATATAGAGAGAGAGAGAGAGATACGTATATAAAAACTTGATTTAATGTATTATTTGGACGTAGAGTTCACTACATAATCAATTTCATATTGAATTTGCAATTATTATCTTCCTTGCTGGGAAATGGTTAATCTTCAAATGAAGAGCAATTATAGAGTGACATTCTGGAGATGGGGGCGAAGGAAAAAAAAAAGAGAGAGATTTCGGTGACTAACAGATACAGATTTTTAAATTACATTTAAATTACATTCTACAACTTTTGGTTCAAAAGGCGCTCCAGCGGCAGAATGGCTAAGGCCGCTGAACAGTTGTAGCTAACCCTGGATTCATATCCTGAGGAACGTGATAGCTGCATGATTGCTTGCTTGGTCCACCCCGGAAAAAGTGCATCTGTAAAGCTATGCTATTATAATACAATTACAAAAAGTTTAACTAAAGCTAGAATAAATCTAAATCTGTACAGTAATACCATAAGGTATTTCTCCCGCCTCCTTAGCGTGCCTTCGGGGTGTAGTGGTCTTTCTTTCGGGGTGTAGTGGTCGTATTCCAGAGGTCCGTGTAGGGAGGCATTATACCAGAGGTCGATTCCCGGCGAAGGCGTTGCTCATTTTTCATCTTTCCTGTTTCCAAAAAAATACCTAATGCCTCTACAAGTGGCGCTCGAACTAAACGGGTGGTGGATGATTATTCTTCACACCCAGAATTTGGCGATTGGGTTCCCTAAAACCCCAATCGCCCCTTTAAAAGGGGGAGTATATAAGGTATTTCTCCCGCCTTCATAATTTGGTGGTCTGCACGCTGGGCGCGTGTTCCAGAGTTCCATGATTCGATTTCCGGCGAAGTCGTTGCTAATTTTTCATCTCTATTGCTTTAAAAAATAACTTAATGTCTCTTCAGTGGCGCCCGACCTAAAAGGGTGGTGGATGATGATTCTCCACACCCAGTATTTGGCGATTGGGTCCCCTAAAACCCCAGTCGCCCTTTAAAAGGAGGGAATATATAAGGTGTTTCTCCCGCCTTCTTAGCGTGCCTTCGTGGTATTGTGGTCTGCATACTGGGCGCGTATTCCAGAGGTCCGTGGTTTGACTGCCGGCGAAGGCGTTACTCATTTTCACTTCACCTGCTTCCCCAAAAATACCTAATGTCTCTACAGTACCTTAAAATAGGTTTCAAAATTTAAAATTTTAAAAGTAGATAATTCTAACTGTCTTAAATGATTGGGTTTCACTGCATGTAGAGAACTTTGCAACTGTTTCTGATTTTTATTATATATATTTATGAAAACACTCTAGACAAAGTTTAGGAAGAACCTCTGTGCCTGGTTCTAAGAAGCGAAGGGACTCGCGGAGTGAGGAATGCCCCATATCTAGTTACAGTAAGAAACCAGTTTTCGTAAGAAATCTTCCATGTACGCATCTATCCTCTTAGGCAGCTAGCCCTCCATGTGCTTAATAATTTAACCTTAAAGTATCCTTTTGCAACAATGAGCATCTTAAGTTCATACATCAGAACATCATTAATGAATATCATCATAATATATCAAATGTACATTAATGTAGGATGATGTAAATATTAAGTCATCAATTCCAATCCTCGCTATAGTTTTAAATGTGGGTAGATACTCACTTTCAACCCATATATAATTTTAGGCATGTAATGAAAAGATTTAATATGTTTAATTTCTGCAATATATCTTAAATTCTTAATTTTAGTTGTAGCAATTTTCTTATTTCACATTCATTATTGTTTATACTCATTTATTATTGAAGAAAACATTAAAACTATTACTATTAATTTAATGTGCTTAAGTGTTTTTAGTGTTCTTTAGATTTCAGGCTCTTAGGCATAGGATACATAGAGTCTTTAGTATATTTAAAAAGCAATGTTTGCGAAAAATATGTTGCCTTTGGTATTAAAAGAAGAACTATTTGATAGTTCATCTGTAGGATTATACTTTTGCGTGTTGGCGGTTCATGTTTGATCTCGCGTGATTCTTCGTGATGAAGACACTTAAGTAACTTCACTATCCTTAAAACAGATTGTTAATACTTACGCAACTTTGATCGACTCAATGCAATATTATACGGACTTGTTTATCGACCGTTGTTAGCGCACTTCTTGTAGAGATCTTGGCTTCTCCGTATGTCTGTGTGTGTGCTGCAGATATGAAATTTTGAACTGCTGTTAACATTGGATCTGTTTGGATTCCAGTTCCATTCCTGAGTTTTTTTTTCCCTGCTGATAACCGAGTATTTTTTAATGGAGGTTTTTGAGTCAAGGTAAATTTTTCATTTTCTCTCATTTAAAAATAGTTAAGCATAAATTATTTCGTGAATAAAGAGGTGCTTATCCTCTTCTAGAGTTCTCATGAACTACAGTTTGAGAAACATTAGCTTCATGTCTTATTTTAATGTCTGTTAAAGATTTAAGAAATCCTTACCATTCTCACTTTGTTCGTAATTTTCTGTACAAAATTAATTATTTCTGATTATTGTTTAATTAAATATGGCAAAGTGTACTGTGGTTATCTGCCTAAGAGGAGGCATGTCTTCGAGGGCTTTCTTAGGAAAACTGGCTTGATTTTACCGTACACATGGGAACAATTACATAAACATCCATCCATCCATCCCCATTCGCATATTTCACAAGTGCACATCAGCGTAGCCACTGAGGGAGGGGTCTCGAAAATGGACCATTGAGCTTCTATTGTTCTTGTGACGCTAAATCTTGGTGCATGTGAACGTATGTTGTTTACGTTTTAATTTGCATTTGACTCGCAGTTATAAATTTATAGCGTAATAGTAGAAAATCTCATAGTGCTTTCGTTTTATGAGTTTAATTAATCTCTGACATTTCACTTTCGCGATTTTTATCACTCATTAATGTTTGGATTTGATGTTCACCGCATATTATCGCTCTTTACAACGAGAAAATGACTCAAGCTACAATTAGCTTCGAACATTATACATTTACTAACCTGTGGATTAAGAGAATTCAAGTGTGTAGTTCTTTTTTTAATTGAGCTGAGAAGGACTGGAAGTGTTACAGTGAATCTAGTTTTTTCTTATTTCAGTGCTTGCATTCTTTTGATTTTTAAAGTGTAAGATTCAGAATACATATTGTGTATGATTTGGTTATATTTTAACATTAAAATTATATGAATAAATTGAATATTTCGTTGTGATAAGATAATTCATTCTGTGTGCTGAATTTTTTGTGTAGACAGTACATTTAAGAGTGAGCAGTTATTAAATGTGAAATTTAACACGCTAAATGTATATACAAATGCAAATTAGTAAAGTTCACTTTGAATAAAATTCTGCATTGGCTATTATTATAGAATAACTTTTATATATAGACTGCAATAATAAATGCTGACTTCTATTTACATATATAATTGGAATAAATATTTTTCTCATATGCATAGTTTTATGTAAAGATAGCATTTGGACTCAGATGTTTATCACATATTTGTTTCTTCATCTTATTTACCACTTATTAAGTAATATTTCACATGGATATTTTTGTGGAGTATCCAACAGTGTTTGTATTTATTTCAAATTCTTTTTAACCAGGTGTGAAATCTTCACAATTGCTTATATTTGATCTAACTTCGCAATGAAAATTTTCAGAAGAAATCGACGATGCTTTAATTATTTTGTACAGAAAATTGCGTGGCAGAATATTTTCAACCATCTTGTTCAAATCTTAAAGCGCGCGAAAGGTCATGTGACATGACAGAAATATTACTGGATGCCCATTGGTCCATCCTAGAAGCCACTCCCTCGGCGGCTACACAGATCTTGTGAAATATGCGCCCCGTTCGCCGGGACTCATAGCCAGATCGAACACAAATGATCAGCAGTCTTATCTTTTCGAGCAATGGACTGCTTTCGATTAAATATCATATTTTTTCTCAAAGAACTTATCTTTCTCATTATTGTTCTTGTGATGAAGGGATCTTATTCATCTACTCGAAAAACATGCCAGTGTTCAATGTCATTAAATCTCTCTGTTGATCTGTTTTACTTCCTTGAAATCCATTCTTTCCCTTTTTTATGCTATATCAATCTCTTTTATTATGCTAAAATTCACGTTTAATATCAATTTTGAATTTAGTTAAAATACATCAGTGTGCAAAACTTAAGCAACAAATTCATTTTCAACATACAACTATGAAATAGTTCAAAGGTCATTTTGCTAACGGTACCGTAAAAACCTAATCAGTAGAAAGGTGATCGATGACATATCGACGACAGAAACACGTTCTTTCTTAAAATCTAAAAATCTCTGTTTAAATACTGGCTACTCATTTGCATTCTGGTGAGCACTACGAAAAGGGGAAGTTATAGTAAAGGCTGAAATTATGAATCATTGGTTAATTAACATAAAATTTTCTACACTTCTCTAAGGCTGCTTTTTTTTTTTTTTTTTTTTTAATGGTTTTTGGTTTTCTGAATCTCTTCAATACTGTTCAGATAATGAACTCTGAGGCGAAACTTCTCGTTAGGAAAGAGAAAATAGTCTGCGGATGCCAAATTTGATGAATAAGGGGTGTGTTTGAGAAACGATTGGCACTTTACTAGAAATTACTTGACGAGAATGGAACAGCGTGAGAACGCACTGTCTGGCAGCAGAAACCAGTCATTAGAATGAACGTTTTTAGGCCTAACGCATTGAACTCTTTCCAGAAGTCTTCCATTGCATCTTTATAAAATACGGAGTTCACCATTTGTTCCTCAGGAACAAATTTCTTGTGAACTATCCCTTTTCAATAAAAAGCTGTCAGCAAAATGTTCATTGCTCGAGATTTCTGAAAGCGAAGAAATCAGAATTAATGTTTCCCATTTGGATCAAATCTTTGCTATTATTTGCTCAGCTTTGGAATCCATGACAGCAAATGTTCCCGGTCAAAACAAACGATTAACTGCTCAGAAAACTCTGTTTATAAGCAGACATTATTTTAGGAGAAGCAAACTGACATGTCATAGTAAAAATGCTTCAATTGTTATTTGGCAGATTCTGTATCACAAAGAAGGAAAAGAGAAAGGTATAGTAATTGTAAAGTATAATAAGTATTTAGTATCTTTTAAATTACATTATTGATCATCTTTTACATTCTGATATATCTTTTTCGCCCTGCTTATTTGAACCAAAATAAATAAACAAATAAATATTTTTTACCCATTCGGTTATAAGGTGTGTTTCATGTTTTTCGGATACTCCACAAAATTTAAATTAATTTACATAAATAATAAAGTTTATATGAATGTAACTAGTGGTATATATATTATATAAAATCCACAAAAGAAATTCGAAAATTCGGTAACTTTCCTTCTGAAATAATTTTCGTATTAATTTCGACCTTTTTTTTTTTTTTTTTTTTTTTTTTTTATTAAAACTTGCCATTGCAGTTTCCATAGCAAGCCCTTTCAAGCTATATTCACTTCTGATATGTTTATTTTAGTTCAGTGGTGTATGTTCAATTCCATTCGAAAGTTTGAAATTAAATACTGCTTGTGGTAGGTTCTGTATAAGGCAGGGGTTCTCAACTGGTGGTACGCAAAAGAAAAATAAGTGGTACGCAAAGAAAACGTTTTTTAACTATTAAATTCAAAAATCTCGTGAAGAAAAAGAAAAATTGATGGAAATTTCCTATGCTCGAACTCAAACTGAAGATTTCAAAAATAATATACACTTTTTAACTTTTGGCTGAACCAAAAAATAACTTTAAAGGCATTTCAAATAAAGCTATTAAATTTTTATTGCATTTTTGCACAACCTATTTTTGTGAGTAAGGATTTTCTTCCATGTTATATTTAAAAATTAAATGCAGAACAAAATTAAAAGTGGATCCTAATTTCCTATTAAAACTAAGTAAAATAAGACCAGACAAAAAAAAAAAAAAAAATGTGTATCTTAAACAGGCTTAATTACGCACTAAATTTAGAATAAAGTTTTTATAACTTAAATTTTGATAATAAAATCCGGAACCCATTTTTGAACTAAAATTTTTTTATGTATGCAATTCAATACAAATAGCCAATAGGTTGTGCAAATGGCAAAATATATGTAGTTTTAATATTTATATTGAAAAATTGAAAAATAATCATTGTAAAATGTAGCGGTGGTATTTAAGTTTTTCAGTTTTTATTTAGATTGTACGCGTTAGTCGAAAGGTTGAGAACCGCTGGTATAAGGTATTTCTCCCACCTTCTTGGCATGCCTTCGTGGTTTGGTGGTCTGCAGGTTGGGCGTGTATTCCAGAGGTCTGCGGCTCGATTCCCGGGAAAGGCGTTGCTAATTTTTCATCTTGCCTGCTTTCGAAAAAATAGTTAATATCTCCACAAATGGATTTTATAAACATACGCTCTATTTTCTATTGATATTCTAAGCTGCTGTAGATTTTTAGTTTTAGGAGGGTTACAGAACTGTGTAGCGTCTAGTACTGTAACACTCGCAGGTCATTTTTCAAACGAACATTATGAGCTTAAAATCAGTTGACAATAGAAACAGCGTGGCGAGTAGAAGTACTTAGATCAATTCGCATGTTTTAGCTTATTTCTTTAAGAGATGCTCTTGAAGCATTTCTTGTTATTTCTTTGCATTAATTTTTTGCTTTATAAGCAAGAACTAAATAAGGCATGCTGTCCCCTTAGCATTTCTGAATTCTGATGAACTGATATTTTAAATGTTCCTTTCTGTGCTCATATCATTTCAATAATGAAGCCAACCACCTGGCTTATCGAGGTTGAACTTCTTTTCATCTCTAAAGAGTTTTAATTCACTGATCTCTTCTATTTGTGCTGTTACAAGCCAAATATATTTTAACTGGATATCTATGTGCTTCTTAGTAAGGGCTAATTCTGTAGTAGACCATTAGCATTTTGTTTCTTTTTTTAAATCATTATCATTTTTCAAACCTCGAATAACTTTGGCCAACCAACCAGCAAATTAGAAATTTGTCTAATTGATTTTCCAAAAATTTCTCAAACTTCCTGAATAAACAATATGTTTCGTTTATGTGTATCCCCCTAGAGCTGCTGCGATGATTTAACGAAATTAATTGCAGCAAAAGCACTGTCCAAAGCATCTACTTAAAACAGAAAACGGGGTCGTTTTCGGAAACCGAATTTCTATATTAGTCGATAAAATAAAGCATTATGTTCTAATAAATATGAAGCAAATTTTTCCTGCATTTCTGCTTTAAAAATATACAAATATTTTTAATATTTGTGTTAATGTATATTTAGTTTTAAAAATATACAAACATTTTTAAAACTAAATATATATTTTTTGCCAAAAATTTTACGCTTCATTTAATTTATGTAAATGTAAAAGAAATTCATTGTTTTCATGCTAATTTCTTGGTGTTCTGTCCTGTTTCTTAGTTCTGGTGATTTTTGGTGAATGTGCAAACTTAAGTTAATTTGAGTGTTATATTACTTTTTTTAAATTAAAGTACCTATGTGGCCATGTTAATATTTTTAATTGTATTTTAAAATTTGTTTTTGGATGTTTTTCTTAATTTGTGTATTATATTGTTCACATAATGTAAGGCCAGTGTAATTTAGAGATTGACCGAAGTATTCTTATGTTAAAAAATAATATAGATTTTTAAATTTTTGAGAAGCGCATGAATAATTATTGTTTTCGATTATTGTTTGATTTTTGTAAGCGAATTTCAAAAACTTTATCCTGTCTTTCAGTTTAAACCTTACGTGTTTCTAATGTGTGATTTTATTTCAGAATTTAACTCCAGGAGTACGCGTAAGAAAAAAAGGAGCAAAAAGCAGGGTAGTAACAGAAGAAAGGATTCTGCCTTTGATCGTTTCACAAAATATCATCAAGATCTTAGAAATCATAAATCTCGAAAAGCAGCTCACAGTGTGAATAAAAAATTGAAGAACAATTGCAGTTTAGTTTCTAAAATCCGCAAAAAAAAGTGCAGTTCTGGAATTGAAAAATGTACAAGTACAAATACGTCAGACAGTGAAATCAAAGATTCTTCTGGTGAACTGTTACCTATGCATTCCGATCTGATGCATTCTTCTACAAATGTCAGTTTACATCTGCCTGATTTGGCAAATAATATGACTGAACTAACATGTGATTTACCTCATCTTTCTAATCAGATCAGATCGAAATCTGAATGGAAAAATGAAGCAGAAGTTAAAGCAGACTGTATTTCTGTCCAGTCAGATTATGCAAGTCAGTGGAGGGTAAATTATGGTATTGCTTTCGATGATGCTATTAGTACAGAAAGAAACTATCATTCAGTCTCGGAGCAATTCATACCATCTCATCATGATCATACATACACATCTGTGTATGGGAAAACATTTAACTGTGATCTGCCTCTTACTTTGGAAAATAGTAAAGGTATTAATAAAGTAATTAAAGAACTAAAGAAGCCATATCGCAACTGTCCAACTATTGTTTCTCCGTTAGTGATACCAACTCCACCTTTTCCATATGTATATATTCCATTACTTCCTCACATCGCAGAAATAAAAGAAATTGGTAATAGTACAAAAACATCATGTGGTAAGTTTTATGAATTATTTTTGATGTCATATATTGTGTATATTAATTATCATATATTCTTTATATTATTGAAATATAATGTCATATATTATGTATATTATTTAAATAATATGCTAAGGTGATTTGTTTCACAAACTTTATCAGAGTACTATGTATAATACTTTGATAATGAAACTATGGTACTTCGTATATGGTACTTCTGCGTTCGGACGGGTTCGTAATAAATTGAATGCACAAGTCCGATGAAAAGTGAATAAAATTTATCCTTATCACAACAAATAAAACAAAATGCTGAAATTTCCTCAGAGATTCGTACACTAGTTATATCTTAAACTACTAAAACGTTAAATAGAACTTTATTCAAAACACTGAGAAAGCTAATCCGATCTCACCGCGAATTCGCTACAATCAATAACAGGACTAAGTAAACAACTAAATGGAGATGTTTTCCGCCAACTTTTATAATCTTTTTAATCCTGCACGAGAACATTCTGGTATTTTCTCTTTTTTCTGGATAGCAAAAGAGTACAATTGCAAGCTATTTATTTATTAAAGTGTTAAATGCGCGTGCTCCTGTTTTTTTAATTTTTCCGGCGTAGCTTTCTCTTCAAATAAGTCTCGTTCTGCATTGCACGGGAATATGAAACAATTTTAATTACATTACTATAAGTTTATATTCCTGAAAATATTGTGACCATTTTAAAGTATCGAATCATTAACAGAGTGGGCATTATTAAGCATTTTTATGTACTTGATACAAGAAACTCATTGTGAAACATTTTCTTCACTTTTTACTTTGAAAGTATACTCAGTGTTAAATTTTTATTTTGAGTAGATATCTTGAGGGTATGAATCCTCAAGTATGAAATTATACTTTTATATAATAATTTTGATTTTAATTATTAAAAGTTCAACACAGATTTTTCATTAACATTTGGATAGTTCTCTTGAAAAAGTCAGAGGTATATTTGTATTTTTTACATTTTGTATTTTCATTTTTGCCATCCCCTCACTGTATTGTACACATTTATGTTTTAACTGTTTATCTTATTATATTTATGTTATGCTAATTTTTATGTGGTAGTAATAATACCTCATAAAGATGAATATATATAAAAGAAATATGAATCCTATAAAATTTAAATGCGCGTAATAATCCCCATTATATTATTCTTTAATATATCCCCATTTAATGCCGCAGTATTCGCGGATGATATGTCCCGTTAACGCTGGTTATTATAACAACATATTGATACATAAATATGATAGCGTTTAATAGATAAACTGATAGCATTTAATAGAAAAATTGTATAAAAAAATAGTAATGCCAAACCTTTTTTAAGGTGATAGCACTTTTAAATAAAAAACAATGTTCTTACAGGAGTGATTTGTATTTTCAATCTGTTTTATTGTTATTTATTGTTATTAATAGTCACAATACTTATGTGTGATATATGTTTTGTTGTACTTTCAAAAAGTAGTTTTATGGTTTATAAGGTATTTCTCCCCCCTTCTTAGCAGGCCTTCGTAGTGTAGTTGTCAACATGTTGGGCGCGTATTCCAGAGGTCCGTGGTTCGATTCCCGGCGAAGGCGTTGCTCCTTTTTTAATCTTTCTTGCTTCCAAAATATCCTAATGTCTATACAGTGGCACCCGAACTAAAAGGGTGGTGGATGATGATTCTCCACATCCAGGATTTGGCGATTGGATCCCTTAAACCCCAGTCGCCTTTAAAAGAGGGAATGTATAAGGTATTTCTCCCGCCTTCTTAGCAACTCTTCGTAGTGTAGTGGTCAGCACGCTGGGCGCGTATTCCAGAGGTCCGTGGTTCGATTCCCGGCGAAGGCGTTGCTCAATTTTCAATCTCTCTTTCTTCCAGAATATCCTAATACATCTAAAGGTTGACAGACCAATTAATAAATCTTCTTAAAGATGCTCCAGTCTGTTTCCCTGTTTAGTTATTCTCCTTTGTGTGTTTAAAAAAAGTGGTGATTCGCACAAGTATGTATGCCATTGAAAACAGTAATAATTTTTAGAACGTATTTGTGAATGGGAAACATCGCATTGAAGATTTTCAGCGCATAAAGCAACAAAACAAGTGCAGTAAAAAAGTACGCTACTATGTTATCTCTCCCTCTATCACACACACGTACATATACACATTCACACATGGTACTTAAAGATTCGGACGTTTTAGTGTAATCCTCGTGAGACGACAAAACAATTCATCAAGTGATGAATATCATTATGCGCAGTTTCAAAATTTCGTGATATTTTTATGCTATGGTACATTTATTCGAATTTTCGGGTTTGCCGTGGAAAGTAGTACTGGGAGAGTTTGGGTTGTCATAAATCATCATAGTGCGGCCCATTTTCGCATTGAACGCGTTTTAATTTATAATGTTTTAGCTAAATTTGTAGTCCTTGCAAGCTAGAATACTTGTGAACTGTGTAGCGAAGTATCGCAGAGTTCACTAACGTAAATGAAAGTCCAAAGGAGGGTTAAATTTACCCTTTATTCAAGTCAATAATGATTCACAGATGGCCTCTCTTGGGTTTACAGGAAGCCTCCACTTGGGCTTTAACTTAAGATAAATAAGAAACTAATCTGATGCTAACTAAACTAAAACCACCCAAAGCTTCACAGAAATAACTAATAGAATTCACCGCCGAATACTAGCAGGCACGTAATAATACGGCCGAATAGCAGTCAGACTAGACTATTAGCAAGAATATTGCCAGAAGGAAGACGCGCGCTGTGGCCGAGACTTCAACTTAAACACTGGTTCTATAAAACGCGATATTGAAAACTCATTCTGGTAGGTAATCGTAAATGGAAAATAAGGAATTAAAAGAAAGCATGTTTAGAAATAAAAATAACTCTTATGAAATTAAAATAAATCCTTCAAATTTAAAATATTTTAAGGTAGTCTCTGAAGCAAATTGCAGATACTCAATCAGCTGATACGGACGGTAGGGGTGCGACTGTATGCACACATGCATATGCTCACAACATATCCTCTATTAAATGTGCTGCTGAGCAAGGGAAATCATGTGATTAATGGCAGCCTATAATTAAAGGAACAGGAGAAAGTTTCCTTCGTACTTACCTCGAATTTAAGTGTGCATTAGCACAGAAAAAAAAAAGTTTTCATTTTAAAAGGTTAGCCAAGAGAATCCGATAATATGGAGATCGAAAACAATACCAGATGTAACTTAAATAATTATTTATTTTACAAAACAATGATATATATATATAACATCATTTATTATAACAATGTCATTCTTCTTTTCAACCTCCTATTGTTTGAGCGAAAATTTTTCAGATGTTCGCTGTCATTTGTAGAACACTCATCCAGGCTGTCAAATTGGTTTTGTATCACTTTTTGGACCACGTTGTTTAATGTAGCTGCAGTTGTTTCTGTAATGTTACTCTGAATTCTTCATATGCCTAGGTGTACTAATGTACTTTTGAGAATTTAGGTATCCCCTGAGGATGTAACCCCATTCTGGTTGTGGAATATCCCCTCCTTCAGAGATCCTATGACTGTGAAGCATTTGCTGAAGCACATCATGAATTCTTTTGAAGTATGTGACGTTGCCTCATCTTTCGAGAACTATAACTCACTAAGATCTATTCCACGAGGATCCGGTTCTGAAGCATGGGAGTTCTGTAATATTTCTTTGACGTATAAAATATGTGTGGTTAGAAAGTAAGTGACCCGAAGACAGGAATAGCAATGTTATAATAAATGGCACTATATATCTTCTTATTTTATAAAACGAATAACTATTTGGATTTTACTTTATAATGTTGATACAAAGTTGAAAATCATCGGATACCCTTTGCTGACCCTGTGTAAGCATACGTGTGAAAAGAAGTATAATACTTTTACCAAAATTGTGTTCGATAAAGCTTCTTCTAGTTAAAAAAAAATTCAACTAATAAGCATTAAAAGGGGATTTTTGTTATTGATTTTCTTACAAATTTTATCTCATTCTTGAATGGCCTTTCTATTGTTATTTATCATAGAAGAAGCCCTAAATATACTTTTTTTTATTCTTTTTGTATTCAAATCTCGTATTTCATGATGTCTCAGTACTTAAATTTAGTACCAGTGTTAAGGTATATTGCTTTTCTTCTGCATAAGAATACTGCCTTTTGTGTGGTTTTTGTTGGGGCAAAAATCTCGATTACTGGCTCTGGTTGAAACTTGCCGTTTGCGTTTTCTTCGAGGCTCGTTGACTTTCAGATTTCGCGGAGAGTTGAAACAGGCCCTTTCAAGAGTGTTCGGGTTTCTCACTTCCGTGAAAATGGGGGGAAGCGGACGCGGTAAAATGACTTCTGTTTAACTGGACATCTGGGAATTTAATTAGCATTTAAGCCGATCTTTGGTTAGATGGACATCTAGAGGCTAAACATTGTATTGATCGATGATAGATATGAATAACACCTACTTGTAGTGTTGATATTTTCAACGATATGGGTAAATCGTCTGTTAATATGTATATGCATATATATTATAGTATAATCAATTGCTTATGTGTATATAATCTTATTATTAGAGAAACATTAAAAATGACTTTAATTCTATCTGTCTTCCTCTTTCTTATAAGTTGAATACATTAAAGTGTATCAGCACTATTAAATATCATGTTTTCGAGTAACATATGGGTATAAAATGGAAAAGGCTATTAAAATTAATAGTTTGCCTATAAATTAAGTAGCTTCATTAAACATATTTGCTTTAAGCTCTTTTACCTGATACATAGCTTATATACATACATATATATTTATATCAGAAAGAATGATGTACTATTAATTCTGTTTCTGTTGTTACAAAGTAGTTATTTTATATAATTTTGGGTACCAGAAATCTTGTATAATTCAGATTAGTTTGCTATATAACTTCTGCGTAGAATTTATTGTAGTAGCATTGAATAACTGTATGCTTAATATAAATCAGTTATGTAAATTAATTTCATTTTCCACTTTGTATGGTTTTGCTTGTACAGATACGTACATTGATGATGATTTTGTGAATGACTTTCACGAAAATAATATAAACTCTGACAATATGCCCCTCTTGCATTTAAATGAAGAGGAGGAAGAGATGCAAAGTTGTTTCTTCAATAGACTAATATCTCCGGAAATAAATGATCCTGAATCAAATGATGATGAAATTTCACCATCAGAAGGATTTATGGATGATGTATCTGAAGATGGCAATCAAAGTGAAGCTAATGATAGTAAATTGTCTGATGCATCTTATTGCATGGATGATCTTTTAAAAACAGAATGTCCAGAGAATTTGCAAGCTGTAGAAAAGGTAAGCATTTTCTAGTTTTATTGCTGCCTTTATCCTTTAATGTTCAGTATAAATTTAACATTTGAGTGGCTTTAATAATTAGTTCAACAGAAATAGAATGCAAATTTAAATAGCTTAACGACTTTCAGGCTATGTTCAAAAAGTTGTCTTTTACTAGGAAAACTCGAACTTAATTTGTAAGGAATGTTACATTAATATAGACCTTATTTTTGTGAATATAAAATTATTTGAGTTTACTTGAAGTATTTCGCCGATCATTATATAATTTTTATTTCATTCCTAAGCTGCTATATTTTCAGATTGTCTTTATCATAATTTACTATCAATTTGAATAAATATTTTGTATTTTTCTTGTTTAACTTTTACAGTATTAGTATTGGAAGTATTTTCAATTGAGAAGAAAACTGAATTTATGAATTAGTATTAATCATAACCCTTGCCACCTAATAAAAGTTTGTACAGTAATCATTCAGTTACCTGGTCACAGTAAGATCGGATTTCAGATCGGACAAGCAAATAGCTGGTTAGTCCGAAAATGCTTATAAGATAGCATTTATAAGTTGTAAAATTAAGTTAAAAAAGCACACTATATTGCCTGTAATGACATACATAGGAATATGTTTATCTGAAGTTTAAATGGAGTAAGCCCTATGCAAGTTTGCTATTTTCTGCTGTCACATCCTCTACAGAAGTCATTTTTGATTAAGTTTCTGTATATATCTGCAAGTATTTTTTTACTGTTCTTCCTGTAGTGTAGCATGGTAAATAGCATCGTGTTTGTTTTGAGCCACTTTGCTCGCCTACAACCGGTGCTCCAGCTCATCCCAAATTTGCTTAAATGGTTTCAAAACGAGCTTTTAGCCTTACGAATTTCAGCTGTCGCTGCAGAGTAAGAAGAACAGAATTGTGCACTATTGTTTCATATCCCTCAGTATTCAGGGTTTTGGATGCAAAACCTTATAGGGCAAAGGAAGAAAACGAGTCCACTTGAAAATTCTTCCTTCGCAAAACTTAACAATAATCATCTTCTGACTATACATTTTGTAAGAAACATTCCTTTGGTATTCGCCATGTTTGCATATATCCATCTGATTTCCACAATGTATAGTGTGATTTTTCACTCCTCATATTCTTCCACTATTCCAGAATCCGATAGCCACACACTTATACACAACTGTGGTCCACGAGAAGCGTTTTGTTCGGTGATCATTGGCTTATGTTTTGCAGCTTACCTATAGAGTTCAGGTGGAGATATCTCTGGGAGGATGGTAAGAGAGCTGGCGTAACTTTTCGAAGACTGTAGTTACAGTTTCTAACTAGGCATGCGGGTTTTACTTCACCACACGTCGGAAGAATCAACAGTCCCAATATTTCAATTTCTTCGATCTGGAATTGCTTGAAGAAATTCGACCTTTCGAGGTCGAGCTTAGAGTTTTTATAACTGTCTCATGTGTTCATTTTACTTTTACATCACTCAAATTGCAAGTGGTACCTGAAATTGCCAGAAATCTCACGGACAGAATGACCGAATCGATGGACACCGAGGCCATGTTTGCCTTCCCTCAGCTCCTGTTACACATTCATTTTGTAAGCAATAGTTGATATGCACATCTGCAATGAGCTCATGGTCCTTTATTAGATCGTGGCAAGTGTCGATGGCATATAACCGGTACTGATTTAGATCGTGGCAAGTGTCGATGGCATATAACCGGTACTGATTACCTTCCAGTGGAGGCCTGGTCATCAAAGGAAGTACATTGTATATATGTATGTAGGCATATTATATAGAAATATTTTTTAAACATTTGGTATATTTTGAAAAATACAGTTCTCTTTTTGAAGTAAAAACATGCCACTTTTTTACAAAAGTAAACTAGTGGTAGATGAATTGTTTTGCGTAAGCTCGCGATCTTTCATAACTGGCTTAGCAGTGCTCTTATTTAACTCTATTCTGATACCTGAACGAAGTAATGCAGTATTTCTGGGCATAATTCTCTGTACGTTTTTCTAGAAATAGCAACTGAAATTTTATTCGCGAATGAAAAGTTGCCGGAAATATGGTCGTTTAAAGCTAAACCGGATGAGAGGGAGTTTATTATAATTTACAGTTGACATTTTTTCCCTATTTTAGATCGCGAATTAGCAGCTTGCAAAATATATGCTATATCAATTATTTTATTTTGCTCAATGAACATTAATTAGTAATCTGATTTTATTATTTTCATACAGAAACTGGCTTTAAAATTCATCAGAGCTCTTCGTACTAAAAAGAAAGATGAACGAGGTCCACTAGTTTGCCAGATTTGTAAAAATAAAAGTTTTACAGCTCAAGCTACCTTGATGTATCATTACAGAAGTCATGCTGGTAAATACTATTAACTTATTTCCTCAAAATTTTAACTGGTTTCGTTTATTAAGCATCATTCTTCTCTGAGGTTTCTAGAATATGTATATAAATATGTATTCTACTTTCTAGCATATTGTGCATGTGAAATGGAGCCGTAAATCTGTATAGGCTATCTGATCTGTAGTATACATTGTCACCGTTTCTTTTATAAATGCTGTTTTAAATTAAGTGATGATTATTCAGTGAACTGAGTGCACTGCAATGAATTTGATGTATAAGATCCAACCTATCATCTCTCGGTTAACTCCAAATACCTAATCAGTTGCCCATTAATAACTCATTTCAAGCTACTTTTTAAGCCTTGAAATTCAAACTAAATTCCAAGGTAAATATATAAAACAAATAAAATATATTAAGTTTCGACTTTGAAATAAACTAAAAGTTACAAATTAGAAAGTTGCCCGTTCAGAACTGCTTTTCACAAGCATAGCAGTTCAGTTATTTACAGATCCACCTTCTGTTCCTGTGTCCGGAGGAATACGTTGACCTATCTAACCAAATTTCATTCACCATATCGACCATCCTAAAATTAAAGCTCAATTTAACTTAAGAATTTTGTGGTAATTCAATATGGAAACAACAATTTACTGATTAAATCCTTAACGTAGTCATTGGAAAGTCTGTAAACAAGACAGAGCAATTGCAAGTCTTTTTGATTCGCAGCAACAACGGATCTTTTTATAACTAAATGCATTCATCTTTTGCTTTTTATTAAAGACAAATTTACATACTTCTGGAACGACGGCATATTTTGCACCTACAGGTGTATGATTGGAAGATGAATAAATAGTTCTCAGCTATTAAAAAAAGTTTAAAAATCCTTAAATACAATACAAATCCTGGGTATGAACTTTGGCATTTGAAATCTTTATTTTAGGCGAAATTATTTATTAAGCTTGTCTCATTGGATTCTGCACATAAAGTTACAGAACTTGCTGTTTTTTTTCCTTCTAGTTTAAATCATAATTAATATAATTCACTGCGAGTTTGACGTGTTGAATTAATTATTATAGGAATGTTATTTATTGTAAGAAGATTAAATCATGCCTGAATAAATATCATAATACAAATGCCGGTGGTGGCCGCCTTCCTATTTCAAATCCAGATAGATATGTCTTTTCATAGTTACAAATGTTGCAGCAACCATAGCAGGTTTAGTGAGAATAGTTTCAAGAGTGGCGTCAAAGTCCAGTTCATCCGAAATAAGAGATTGTTTCTGTTATTCCTCTTTTTCTCTAGTGAATAGACTGCAGTATTTTAGAAATTATTTTGTCTTTGAAGAAAGAATTAATGAATCGCGTGGATCATCTAACATATCGATGAACTCCTGCAAAATTTCCTATATAAGCCATGTGTATGTCTGTATTCAGGTTGAGCCACAGTTTACATGTGATAGTTAATTTTTCTAACAGTTAAATTTATACTTTGCATTTCTTGTTTTTGCTTTCATATGAATACTTCCAATTCATAAATTCTCTGCAAAATTTAATTCTTTGCATTCCGTAGGCGCTGCTATGGAGACATGCATATTTTACTATATCGACAGCAATTTTATAGACTTTATCTCTTTAAATATAAACTCAGCAACTTGAACTCTATTAATTTCAAGATGAGTGTGTGTAAAGTTAATTTTTAAAAAGTTTGAAATAATTTTTTCTCTTTTAAAAAATTAAAAAATAAAATGAAGATTTCGAACGTTCTGATACTGAAGATGGCTTTGATTGTAATACGTGTAGAAAAAAATGGACATTTCGTTTGGTTATAATGAAATTATTATAAGAGAAGTAGTTTTGATAGCGATACATTAGTGTCAAGGGGGGGGCATAAATACGCAAGCTGTTGTCAGTGGTATCGATGTCAGTACCAGTATTTTCACAGAAGTAGAAAACAGTGAATGGACAGATATTACGGAAAGTGATGGTATTTTACAGCTAGCAAATTTTTCATTAGGAGCAAAAGTCGTCAGACTACAGATTTCGTCAAACGTTTCATAACCAACATAATGTTGCGTGCGCACGGGTTTGTTATGAATTGAATGCGCAAGTCCGATGAAAAGTGAATAAAATTAATTTTTATCACAACAAATAAAAACAAAATGCTTAAATTACCTCAGATACTCGTACAATATCGCAATATCTTGCAGTAGTTATCTTTTAAACTACCAAAAACTTTCAGCAGAACTAATTCAAAATAGAGTAAGCTAATTCGATTTCACCGCGAATTCGCTACAGTAAACGAGAACAGTTTTCTAAAACAACTCATAAAACAACTGAGATGAGAGGTTTTGATCCCGCTTTATATAAGCTTTTTAAACTCACGAGCACATTCTGGTATTTTCTCGATTTTTCCCGAAAAGCAAAAGCGTACAATTACGAGATATCTATTCATTAATCGCGCGTGCTGCTATACTTTCCATTTTCCTGGCGTAGCTTTCTCTTTAAATAAGTCGCGTGTAGCATTGCATGGGGAAATGAAAGACTTTAATAACAAGTCTACAAGTTGTATTAAAAATAGCAAACTAAATAAATCAATACAAAAACCGTAACAATAATTTTACAAAAATTTTTTTCACGTGTGTTTTCTCCTATACGATATTCAGTATGAGCGATGTCTAGGTTAGACGAACTATAATTATGGTGATTTTACCATAATTATTATAAAACCAAATTTACGTCAAAGGTTCTAAAGAAGAATTCTGTTCGGCAGACATGGTGCGTTACAGATAAAAATGAATGTTAGGCTTTTATTTTATTGCTGTTATCCTAAGTCTGGGCATAATGCCTATAGAAACATGTAGGCACATTGGTCATTGAATCATAATAGTAGAATTCATTATTTTCCGAACTCATTTACAAGAAAAACAATTAATAAAACATTTTAAACTTCACTACACCTCCCTATACATGTACTCCCCAAGTCTTGCTATCCTGCCTCAACGTGCCGGGAGGTGTCACTGCGCGGAACGGGCAAAGCGCGTCGGGAGCATAGCTCCTGGTAGGGCCACCCTAGGCGTGAAGGCCGTTCCAACATGCCCAGCTAGAGCATAGCAGGTGAAGATCGTTTAGGGGATTACCGTCTTGGTGATCGCGTGTCACAATCCTAGAGCCCCAGTGATCTCTCTTCCTTTCTGCCTCCTCTCCTCTTAACTACAACTTTTCCCGTTTCCCTTCTCCCTTGTGGTTTCCTCTTCCGAGGTTCGGGCTCATCATAAGAAACTGCAACAGGCTTGTTCTTCGAATGGCGAGAAAACTGGCCACGTGTTTGCCGTGCGTGCAGACCCGTGTCACTGGAAAGGGTAATTGAGGGTAGTTGAGGGGCGAGGTACTGCCCCCAACACACTGCTTTGGCATCTGCTTCAGTTAAACGGAAGGCACCTTGTCATGATCTCGGGTGTCAATCGGCTGGTCACTAGTCCTTATGTCAGTGGCTTGGGGACAAACTCTCGGGAGTACCTTCTTTTGGGAAAGCCGACTGTGGGACTTCAGTTTGCGTATAGGTTCGGCTAGCACTGGCGTAGGAATCTGCGTTCCCTTGTTGGGCTCCATGGTGGGTGGGGCGGTCGCAACCGAATCTTTCTCCATTTAAATATGAATGCTATGATACCTTCCTGCTCCAACAGAGTACCCGATACTCCGATTGTGACAAAAAGACTAAGAAGCGACATAGAAAGCACTGTATCAGATGTACTTTGTTCGCGTTTCTTAATTATAACCAGCTCTGAAAAATTGAAAAAAATGTCACCCTTTCTAATAAACAAATATCTTTTGTCTTCTGTACGAGAACTGAAAATTATTAAGAGACTTCGGTCTGGAGGCCTTTTGATAGAAACTGTGTCCAGAAAGCAGCCTAATAGTCTTTTGAAACTAACTAAATTAGAACAAGCAAATATTGCAGTTAAGCCACATAACACTCTAAATTCGTCCCTAGGAGTAATCTCTGAAATAAACTTACTGTCAGTAACTGTAGAGGAATTTGTTAAAGAGTTGGCAGATCAAAACGTGTGGGGTGCTCGTAGGATCAAAATACGGAAACAAGGTCAACTCATTCCCACTAACCATGTCATACTTGCTTTCAAAAACATCAAAGCTGGATACCTAAACTGTTCAGTCAGGCCATATATACCGAATCCAATGCGTTGCTTTCAATGTCAGCGCTTTGGACATGGGAAGACCTCTTGTCGCGGTAGCCTCACGTGCATTCAATGTTCTATCGTAGGCCCTGCTAGTGAAGACTGCTCTGCTGCCCACTTGTATATAAACTGTAAAGGCGAGCATGCAGCTTTTTCAAGATCATGCCCGAAATGGCAGACGGAAAAACAAATTCAAAACATTAAAGTTACACAAAAGATATCATTTGCAGAAGCCAAAAGACTTTTTCTCTCTAACCAGCCAAGACCTAATAAATCTTATGCATCCGCAACAAAATCATTCAGATCAATACCAACGCAAACCACAATAACTGCACCGAAAAGAACTAGCAACGACAGAAGATCCTAGAAACCAAAAATCAGGGGGGAAACCTGATGTTGAAAGTAGTACGCCGGTGACTGCGCCCAAAGGAAAACAGGGTGTCCAACAGAACAAACATAGAGGTGGTATCAGAGAGAAAAATAAGCAAAAACCCAGGACGCCCATTCAAAGTTCCATCGCAAGCATGAGTTCAGGACGCTTAGACGACTCAGACGAAATGGACGTTGAAGAAGGGTTATCCCTTCCGAAACACCTTTTGCCTCAAAAGTCAACACACCAACACCGCCAAAACAAGCAGCCATAATGGGTACATTTATTTCGTGGAATTGCCGGGTTTTCGTCAAAACCTGGATAACATCAAGGGTTTAATAAACATGCATCAACCTGCCTGCCTTGCGCTTCAGGAGACCTTGTTAAAACCAAGCAGACATGCTAAGATACGGAGATATACAACAGTAAGAAAGGACAACCCATCTGGGGATCGTGCCT